GGAAAGAGAGAAACAAGCCTTTATAGCACATCCAAACAATTAGCAAAAAGAAGAAACAAAAAAGATGGAAAGGAAAAGTAAAGGATGTTTTCTCATCTATGCTATAAGATTTTAAAGTAAATACAACCTGCTTTTCTGGCATAGCATGCTTCTCTGCCCTTTAACTGCAGCAAATTTATCCAGCACTGGCTATCCCTGTTTCAAATTCCTAAGTGGGAAGCCATATGAGATCATCTCTCTGCATGTAGATGAAAGGGAAGGATGCACAGTGTAAGTCCATGCAACTACTTCTTCCCTAGGCTTGTATTTTACACCTGACAGTGCTTGGAAACACACACCAGATCCTGCTCCCTTTACTCAGGTAAGCAGGCTCTGGCCCCAAGAGTGTCACAAGGTGCTAAGCACTGTGTTGAAAAACAAGCTTTTCCATTTACTGTGCAACTTGTGAAAATCATCAGACGATGGGGGAAAAGATCTTCCTCCTTTAGTAACTGAGATTATAAGATCAGTCTGGGCTGTAAATTTGAATGTCTTGCTTAAATCTTGCAAGCACTGATGTATGTTGCTGAGCTGCAAACCTCACTGTGTGTAAAATCTCTACAGTATTCAGAACTGCTCAGTCCGCTCATTTGCCCCAAAATTAAAGTGAATTATTAATTCTAATGAAATGGACATTGGAAAAGAGAAAAAAAATTTTTCTAATGCCCCTACATCAATCATCTTTAGCATACAAGAGATGCAGAAGGTCACTTACTAGTTCCTATGTTTGAGAGATCCATCTCTGGAAAGAGGATGATTGTTGTGTTCCAGTATTTTGTGTCATATTGTGTCAATTGTGTGCCATTAGTCAGTAATTCATAATACATAAGGCACTAGATGAGCTTTGGTTTTGTTTTGTTAAACTTGACCTTTCCAGAGATTTCTTTGCTTTGTGAAGATATTACATGGTTTTCCCTCATGAACTTTATATCTCAGTTGAGAGCTGGGCTGCTTAATTGTGACTACAC